TTTTCTCTCCTCCTGCATGCAGACAGACTCAAGACTCTAACTTATTCACTGTTTTATCCATCTCCAGGGTCTAGCATAGCTCCTGGGCACATAGGAGGTGGCAGGTTTTATATTTCCTTGCACTAGCTGGTTTGAAAGTTGCTCGTTGTGAATAAAATGCATTAATGGTAGCAGAAGTAATTTCAAAGCCCTTGATGCTTTGGGGGAGTGTTCCATATCCCACACATCAGTCACTTAGGCACGGCCACACTGTTCAGTCAGGTTCTCTAGAATGTGTATTCTCAATGAGGGCGATAGCGCCCCCAAGAAGGAAGAATGGGTTATTGGAGAGAGAAAAGTTCTTAATTCTTTTTATGTAAAAAACACAGATATACATAGAGTACATAAGCAGATATACAGTATATCTGTGGTATTAAAATATCATGGGGGGTGATTAGAAAAATATATCTCCTTGGGGGGCCAGTAATGGAAAAGAGGTTAAGAAACACGGCTCTATGTGCAGAGCCTGAGACGGGGATTCACGTGAAAGTGATTTACCGAGGGGACACTCTCAGAAAGAGAATGAGGGTAACAGGACAGGGCAGGGGAAGAAAGTTAAGCAAGGAGGTGTTCTTAGCTGGAGACCAGCTTTAGTCTGATCCCATAGGCTGCCCTGGATCATGAATAGTACCATGGAGTTCGTTCCACCATGAGGAAAGTGGCCTTTGTATCCCCCATGTCACTCAGCCATTGGCCACTGGCTGTCCACGTCGGGGGTGCATTGGGGAGTAACCTCCTGGGGGGCTCCTGTTGGCCAAGGAAAGTTCTCTGGAGAAGGCAGCACCTGTGAGCTTTCAGCAGCCAACCCCACAGCGGCTGGAGGTGGAGTGCACCGGCTCAGTAATGGGGATCTGGCTGGACGCCACCAGCATCCTCTACAGCACCAAACCTTCCTCCAGAGGCTTTGGAGAAGTCCTCTGATTTCTTCTTCTAATTTTTTTTTTATTGTGGTAAAATACACGTAACATAAAATTTACCATTTTGACCGTTTTTAAGTGCACAATTCAGTGGCATTAAGTACATTCACATTGTTATGTAACCATCACCACCATTCATCTCCAGAACTTTTCTCGTCATCCCAAACAGATTTTGTACCCATTCAACAACAACTCCCATTCCCGCCTCCCTTCAGTCCCTGGCAACCACTACTCTGCTTTCTGTCTCTGTGAATTTGACTGCTCTAGGTACCTCATATGAGTGGAATCATACATTATTTGTCCCTTAGCATAATGTCTTCAAGGTTCATTTATGTTGTAGCGTGTGTCAGAACTTCCTTCCCTTTTAAGGCAGAATGATATTCCATTGTATGGAGACACCACATTTTGTTTGTTCATTCGTCTGTTGATGGGCACATGGGTTGCTCTCACCTTTTGGCTGTTGTGAATAATGCTGCTATGAACATGGGTGTACAGATATCTGTTTGTTCCCCTTATCTTATGCTCAGATGCATTGTTGTCTTGGCGGGGTAGAATGGGAGGCCCTGATTCATCATTGCCTCCTCATCCCAGGTGTAGACCTCAACCCAGGTATCTTTGTTGTGGAGCATGATGGTGTCAGCAGAGGTGGGAGGGGTTTTGCATTTGAACAGTAAAGATTCTCCTGTTTTGGAGGATTAGCATCTTTTGGAAGTAGTTATAGAAATGGAGTTGAATTTTTTATTTCATCTTACAACAAATTACACGAGGAGAAAATTAAAATTGGTGATGTTTTAGAAGGTTTCTGCCTTTTTATTCAGCAGACAGGCTATGCCCTGGCATTTGTTGCTTGGGGTGTTTTTTAGGAGGCTGTCCTCCTTTCCAGCCCCTCTCAGTCTCTATAGCCTAGTTGATGCTTATAGAGTATGTGAGAACATAGTCAGGCTCAGCAAAAGATTTTGAATGGATGAATGAATAAGTGAATGATTGAGTCCACGAGTATATGGAAAGTGAGCCTGCCCTGGATTTGAGCCAACAGCCTGCACACACACATTTGCTCTTAGATCGAGCAAAGGACATCAGTCTAAGGAATCAGCAGGAAGGTGGTCCATGCTTCCTCATTCCCCAGGCCTGGGGAGAGGGCAGCCCCCAGCTCTAGGGACGGCTACCTTGCTTCTTGTCTCTGCCCTGACACACCTGAGGACAGTAGAAAAGCAATGCTCACCTGTTGCCTCTCTCTCAGGGGGCTTGTGAAGCTGAGTGGAATGAGATCTTCCTAGCTCTTTAATCTCTTAGGAAGAAAGGAATTTTATGAGGATAATAATATGCTGTCCTTGATACGTGAAAAACCTGCTCAGTACTCATGGTTAGTGGGGACATTAATTTTGAGGAGTTTTTTTTGTTCTTTTCTTTCTTCCTTGCAAGTGGTGAATTTATGCAGATCTGTGTTCCTACCTGATGTAAGGTATTTGAAGATAAAGTTTGATGATAATTATCTGATGATGATGATGGTGATTGTTGATAATGATACTGTCAACCGATATACATTGAGTGAGTATGAGACTGTGCTAAAAGCTTTTCCTGCCTTATCCTATTGAACCCTGATGACGCTGTAAGGTTGGTGTATAGTTGTACCAATTGTAAAGATGGGGAAACTGAGGTCCAAAGAGGTTACGTTATTTGCTCGAGGTCACATTATTTGCTCGAGGTCACACTGCTGCTAAGGGGCAGATTTTATAGACATGGTTACACTGTGGCTCCCAGTAAGAATACTCTAATATAGATAAAGGCCAAGCCCTAACCAATTCTAAAGGAAAAGAATAGATTTCCAATGGCTTGTGATAAAGAAAGACCTTTGGTCAAGGGTGGCATCTGAGTACGCCTTGAAGGGCTAAAAGGTTTTTAGGGGATGGGAAGATAGAGATGGGCTTTCAGCAAAGGTGTTGAGGTGGGGTCTGCAGAGTTTATTTGGGATTCAGATGTGGCTGGACATTGAGCTTGCGTTAGGATGGGTGTGATGGTTGGAGGGGCCACAGAGGGTGGTGTGATGATGGTAAATGTAGAAAGGGAGGATGGGGTTAAATGATGGAGAGTTTGAATGCTCTGTATCTGCCTCCACTGGTGACCACAGACAGCTATGTGGGAAATGGTGGCTGGAATTAAGAGGGAAACCTGTAGCCATAAAATGAAAGAATGACTACCTTTGAAGGAGATTAACCTAACCCTTTCACTGGTCCTCATTTGCAAGAGGAACAAATCTAGAAGCTCATCAGTTGCCAACTAGTAATTCAAGATGACTGGACTGGTGTTAGTGGCCTTTGGCATGTATAGTCCGCAGAAACCAAAGACTGATAAGACATGGCAAAGTTTTTATCAGAAGAATGGGAGCGCACCATGGCTGCCTGCAGGAGGAGGAGGAGTTTGAGCTGGGCCTTAGGGGAAGGTCTCATTCGACAGGCAGAGGGACAAGCACTAAGCATTCTAGGTGGGCATTCTAACGGGGCACTGCGCGTTAGTTTCCTAGGGCTGCCGTAACAAAGTACCAGGGCTGTGGCTTAAAACAACAGAAATGTATTCTCTGACAGTTCTGGAGGCTACAAGTCTGAAATCAAGGTGTTGGCAGAGTAGGTGCCTTCTGGAAGCTCTGAGGGAGAATCTGTGTCATACCTCTCTAGCTTCTGGAGGTTGCTGGAAATCCTTGGCATTCCTTGGCTTTTAGACACGTGGCTCCAATCTGTGCCTCCGTTGTCACATGGCCATCTTCTCCTTCCTTGTGTGTCTTTGTCTCTGTTTTCTCTTATAAGGACACCAGTCATTAGATCAGAGCCCCCCTTAATCCAGTATGAGCTCATCTTAACTAGTTACATCTACAAAGACCCTGTTTCCAAACAAGGTCACATTCTGAGGTTCAGGTGGACATAAATCCCTCAGGGGCACTATTTGACCCAGTACACACTGTGACCAGAGGCCAGGGTAAGAACTGCAGTGTGGGTTGGGTGATTTGTTTAACAGGGAGGACTCCACAAGGTGAGTGTGAGGAAGCAGATGCTGCTGGAAAGCCTCTTAGGGACCTGACAACCTTGGGTCTGAATGTCTTACCAATGATTATCAACTCTACACTGCCAGGACTTGGAGGCTGCAAGCTTTCACAGGGAGTAACTTGATAATGGGAGATGGGCTGACAAGAGGGATAACTGGTGGCAGAGATCCCAGGCAGGTCAATGTGGTAAGGGTTCACGAGTGAGGCCACTACAGTCTGACTAGGGTGGGGGCGGTGGGCTGGGAAGGAAGGAGGGAGCTGGGGCCATTTTTGAAGGAAGACACAGCAGGCCTTGGTGAGAGATGGGATGTGGCGAAGAGTGAGAAGGAGCTTTTGAACCTGGGTGACCAGAATACTGAGAGGAAAGAGCTGGTTTTGTGGGAAGGTTGATGAGTTTGGCCTTGGATGTGTTGAGTTAGCAGTGCCACTTGGAGGGCAGATTGGAGATACCTATCAGGCAGCTGGAAATGTGGTCTGCAGCTGGGAGATGCTCTTCCTCTCTGCTCTGCTCGAGTAAACCTGAAGTAAAGGGTACTGAACTGTGAGGCGCCCCTGCTCTCTGAGGGGGTCAGATGATCAGAATTTATGTAAATGTAGCCACAGTCACATGCCCAGTGAATGGAATGAGTCAAGAGTGCGTAAGAGGCAAAGACGGCAGAACGATCTTTCTAAAGTGCAAATCTGAGCATGTCACTCTCTTGCCTGCCATCCAGGGGGTGGTTCCCCCGTTGCTCTCTGGGTGACATCCCGCTCCTTAGCTTATGTGCAAGGTCCCTTGAGGCCTGGATGGCATCTTACACCATTCTCCCATCCCCTCCTCACCTCAGCCTCTCTACACCTTGTACAATTTGAAGAACATATGATGCCCCCCTCACTCTGTCATTCTGCACCTGCCACTCTCCTTTCTTTGAACCTCTTTTTTGGCCCTCTGTCTCCTGTCCTTCAACACTCAAGCATCTCACGGCCTCTGACACTCTCGATGGGCCTCTCCCCCAGTAGCCCGTAGGATGGACATGGACAAGGGCTGCCTCCTGGGCATCTCTGTGTCCCCAGCTTCTCTCACAGGGCTGGACATGGGGTATGCAAGAATCAGTGAGTGAGTGAAATGAATGGATAGAGAGATGAAATGCTGTCTACATTTAGTCCTTTTTGGGGGGCAGCTCTTCTCAAGTTCTAACTTTGTTTTTTTGAAGAAATATTGGAGCTGCTGGAGAAGGAAACTCTCAATGACCTTGAGGTAGTCTCCACCCCACCCCCTGGCCTCTTGCTCTGCCTGGCCGTTAGCTGCCCACTACTCCTGTCATTTCTCATCAAGGTATCAGCGTCATTAGCTCACCACGAGATGCTCGTGGGCCACCATGTTCTGTTGAAGCATGAAGCCTACCAGAATGTTCTCAGAAGGAAACTCTTGACTTGTAAGGTCAGGGGAAGGCCCCAGATTGTCAGCTAACATGTGCCTGAATGACTGGAGTAGCTTCATGTTCACTCTGACCACCACAGAGCACAGGAGATAGGTGAGGAGGAGCAGAGTTCGTGGTCAAGAGAGACATCAGTCCTTGCTTCTCTGTTTGAATTTAGTCCCATCTTGACCCCCGACCTCACGAAGACACTGTGTGGCCATCTCTCAGTCTTTAAGTAGAGTGATTCCTTAAGTCTATGACAAAGCTGTTACTGCGGCATTCCGCCTAAGGAACGATAATCTACTCACATTTACTGAATACTTACCATGTGCCAGGCACTGGGCTAAGTCAGCAATTTTGCTTGGATTATCTTATTTCATACTAGTGGCAGGTTCTATTTCTTCGCCCATTTTACAGTTAAAGAAACACAGGCAAAGAGAGGTTATAACTAGGCCAAGGTCACACAGCTGGTAAGTACAGACAATGCCTGAAGTATCAGCTACTATGCTTAATACTTTTCTGAGCCTAAAGACTCAGAACTTTTCCAAATGGGCTGGGGAATGATTCTGCCTGCATTTTCAATGGAAAAGTTGATTATGGTTTTAAACTTGCTGGACCATGTGCCGTAATGGTAAACTGAGAATCACTTATGATGGGAAATCTCTGCTTAGTGGGTTTGGATTTTAAGTGATTTCAAAAGTCTGCAAAGTTCTGTTCAGACATTTTCCCTACGTGGTGCAAATTGGGAGATTCTGTTGGATTCAGTTGGATAAGCAAAATCCATAGTGAGAAATATTAGTGTTTCTAGATCTTTATCTAAATCATACCATTTGGTACAGTGGCTTTCATTTACATATCAAAGTTATTGGAAGTGAAATGATAAGTAACTTCATGGAGGCACAAATGGCTGAAGAGAGAATAATAATAAGAGCTGATGCTGCATGTATTTAAAGTTGGAAGCCAATATTTCCATTCTGAGAATCGTTAAAATCAAATATGTGTTTCTGTTTCCAAGTAGAAAAATTGGAACCCAAAAACACTTTTTATTTTTGAGATTTTGTTATTCTCTCTGAACCCTTTAAATTGTCAAAGGAGAGAGCAAAGTTGCTTGGCTGATAGACAGCTTTCACTTTTCCTCTGCTGGGTACTTTATTTTCTACTTAAGTTATGATGTTTCAAATCTTGTTTAACCTTTTGATTGACTGCATGATCTCGTGAGCTGTAATCTACTCTCTTTCTGGACTTCTCCTGACACTGCTCTTGATTTCAGATTGTTCCGATTGCTATGATTATTCTGGGCAAGACTCACCTGGGTTCAATTCATGCTGATGTATGAAGGATTTGTCCCCCTGAATTAGAATGAGATGCTATTTTTATGACCTCTTAGGAGCTTCACACTTTCTGTGGTCTGCAGCTTTCTGGGCAGTCTCCATATTGCCAAACCACTCCTCGCCTCACAGCTTTTTTCATTAGATAAGTTTTATTCAGCTTATCATCAATGTCTGCTTATGTGCCAAAGTGCTAGACTTCTCAGCAAGGGCTCGTCTCTCTTCCTGGGGGCCTCTCATGAGGGGTATTCACGGGTTACTGAAAGTCAGTGACCTCCAGAAACAAAAATAATTTAATTTAGTTCTTTTTGAGAGAGATGTACACAGATGATTTTGCTCATCTGATTTTATATTAATGGGAGGAAACAAAGTTCAATAAATGCTTCTCATGTATTTTCATATTATGGCCAATAAAGGAGAAAAAGACAGCCTTGGGGAGGATCGGGGTGAGAAGGATGTCAAGTTCAAAGGGAAATGGAGCGAAGCTGAGCGTGAAACGTACGAGTGAAGAGAGATATAGATGGAGAAACCAGAGCGTGGTGAAGGGGTTCTCCAGAGCAGACAGGAAAAGGGGCGGACAGACACAGGGCTGAGAACTGGAGGATGCAGTGTGTTTCCGTATATTTTGAGGTGAAAGAGCCCATATTAATGATTTTTTTCCTTGGGTTTTGAGAATCAGAATAAATTATCATATGCTATTACCGTGCTTTGCATGCTGATAGAATCTCACGCAGTTTTAACTAGAGCAATCTTCTTTGATTGGGTATAGCCGTTCTGCCTTATTTTCAAACGTATTTGAAAATAAAAGTTTCCTTTCCCACGAGACCTAAAGATTACATTCAGGGAGGAGCGACCTGTTTTAAAAAATTTCTAAAAATGATGTTCACTTTGTGTTTCTGTTTTAAAAATGTATCCTCTTGCTCAGTGTCAAAAATTAGAAAATATGTAAAATTGGAAAATGTAGGAAATATATGCAAGAAACCAAAACCATGACTCATATTTTGAGCTATTTCCTCCCTCTACTTTACAGATACAATTGTATGCTCTGTTTTTATAAATTTAGGGCTCAGCTGTGCATTGTTTCTTACTCTCTTTTTAAAATTTACCACATTACCATATACTTTATAATTGCCTATTCTATTCTATATATTAACTTATTTAAATATTTCCCTCTTGTTGGGCATGTAGGTTGTTTCCAATTTTTGCTATTAGAAGAATGTCATAATGAAAATTTTTGGATATTAATTTTTGTATACTCCTCTGATTATTTCCTTAGGATGGAGTCCCAGAAATAGGAAAAGAGAGTCAAAAATATTTCTTTTAAACATGTTTAAGGTTCTTGAGGCACTGTTCAAAACTGTGTTCACATTCATCTATTCGTTTAATAGCCTTTGAATGCCCTCAGGATGGCAGGCTCAGAGCTAGGTTGATGGGAATTCAGTGAAGAGCAAAATAAGACGTAGTCTGCTTTGTGGAATGTGTAACCCAATGCAGGAGACAGATGGTGAATAGGTGGATCAATAATTAATATAAAAAATTACAGCGAATTTCACTTTTCTAAAAAATAAATATGTTAAGTGTAATGAAGGAGACAGGCAGGGAGCTGTAATAGCTAATAAGAGGCTGGTTAGTGGATGCCACTCTGAGAAGATAATGTATAAAGTAAGACTTGAGGGATGAAAAAACCTGCTCTGAAAAGAATGGGGAAAGGAACATTCCAGGTAGTGGAGAACACCATGTGCAAAGGCTCTGAGGTGGGACAGAGCTCGGGACGTTCTGGGAATTGTTAGTAGGCCTGTGTGGCCAGAGCGCAAGATGTGAAAGGAAAGATGGAATGAGATGGGGTTGGAGAGGGGGCTGTGATCTGTCACCATCACACAGATCTTTGTGGGCCATTGTTGTTGGGAGTTGTCATTTTTGTGGTAAGACCACTGAGAAGCCAATAGAGGGAGAGTGGGATTTAACTCACTTTAAAGAAAAGAGCCTGGAGAAAGAGTTGGCGTGGAGAATGGATGCCTAGGAGGGGATGTGAGTATGGGGGAACAATGATGAAGGCATCTGAACAGCCCCCTGTGTGTTTGAGTATTGTCTGAGGACCACTGGACTCAGCTATCAGAGGCTCCCACACAGCCTTGGACCTCACTTTCAGAAAGCTTTGAGTAATATTGACATCCCTAAACCTGTGTGTATTTTATATGCAGGACTGAATCCTCACATAAGTTATTTCATTGTCATCATTTCAAATGTATTAGAGTTCCTGTTGCCTCTAACTGTCTCAGCTTTGGATCTGAAATGCTGCAAAATAAATTAAATATTTCAAAATTACATTGTATTCTGCTATTAATATGATAAAAAATAATACATGCCTAATATATGAACAAATGATAAGAGATCAAGAAATGGTATTTGATTTTATATTTTATTTTCTGTTAGTGGATATTTAGGTTGTTTTCACTATTGTAAATAATGCTGTGATGAAGATCTTCATATGTATTTGTTTATTTTCTGTGGATATACTCTGTTAAAAAGTATGCCTTTAAAAACATGACAACCAAATTAAACATCAGCGTGATTGTGTACCAGTTTAAATTCCATCATTGACGTATGAAGGTGTCCATTTCCTGGCATCCTTGTCAATCCAGCATATTAATCTTTTTTAATCTTTGCCTGTCTGTTAGTTGGGTGAATATATGTTAATTGACATTTCTTTGATAATTTATGATCTAACATCTTTACTTAGAGGAAGTTACTCTTTTTTTGGTTCACTGAACCTAGAAGAGAACTTTGAACAGTACTGGGGAATAGTAGATGCTCATTGAATGCTTGTTGGTTGAATGAATGAAGATGTGGACCTGTTTATTGACCGTTTGCCTTTCTTTCGTGAATTGGTTAATATCTTTCATGTATTATTTGTTGGAGTGGTTGGTTGTCTTTTTCTTGGTAAGTTTTAGTAGCTCTTTATACATTATAGATAATAACCCCTTGTCAGAAGCTTCAAATATATTTCTTGTTAGTCATTTTTCTTTAAATCTTGTAATTTTTAATGATTTTTACAATAGAGATTAAAAAAACTTTTATGAAGTATTTCAACCATTGCCTTTATGGTTTCTGTCTTGGAAACCGTCCTCAGAAAAGTCTTCCCCAGCCTACAATTATTTTTTTAATATAAATTCACCCGTATTTTTCTTTTCTGTTAATAGATTTAGTAATAAACTATTGTCATATTCCTGGAATGAACTCCACTTTTTTGTTGTATGATATTTGTTGAACAAAATGTGGGATTCTTTTTGTTAGAAATTTTATTTTAGAATTTTGAATCTATATAAATAAAATAATCTGTAGATTTTTTGTGTACTATTTTAAA